TTTTTTTAATTTAATTTTTTTATGACGGAAGAAAATCAGAATCACGAGTTTAAGTACCAAACAAACCCTTAACCTTTAAGAATTTGATTATACATGACGAGCTATATAGGCTTGTGCTATGGCGGATGGATGTCGCCTAGGGTGGTGGTCAGGCAAGGGAGGCAGTTACCAATGTTCGTGAAAGGCTTATGACGCTTGTGGCAGCCAAGCGTTCATAGCAACGTCTCTTTTGTTTTTTTTTTTTTTTTTTTTCTTAATCTTTCTGATGTGGATTATAGGATTTTCATTAACAAAAATTCTTTTATATACTATTGGATCCTGGATTAGGGGCTTTGACACTAAGGCAATTTCTAAAGGGCTTATTGGGTCCTGGATTATATATACATCATGAAGCTCTGCCTCTCCACTTCCTGCCATCATGGTGAGTGGAATTAAGTACTAGAAGGTGTAGCCCAGGTCATATTTATAATGGATGTTGAAAATGACAAGAACCTAATATTTGCAATCAGAGTCTTAAGGTATCACGATTCACACATTTTTTTAAAAAAAATTTAGGAAACAACTCAAAATAAAAAACAAACAAAAAAGCAGAAGAAAACAAGACGTTATAGTTATCTATTTAGAAAGACTTTGGTACGATAAGAAACAGACTATATTTCGTCTATTGCTATAGGGGGTTAGGGGGGATGTGCCCCCTGAAACAAGAGAGAAAAGCAAGCAAAAAAAATAAGCGAGTGAAGTGATTCGCGGGTGTGAAGCACGAACGATAGAAGGAAATAGACGGGTGAAGTGATTTATGGGTGTGAAGCACGAACGATAGAAAAACTCATCCTTTTTGTACGGTCAAATAAAATAATTTTAGTGAGAGCTAGGTTTTTATGAAATATCCCCTGTAAATGCGATATGAGCTGTTTTAATGGTCACACAGATAGCATTCAAGTCGACCTTATTCATGATGTTGCACTTGACATATAGAGAAACCCCATCCCTTTGGCAATATATTATCCGAAAAGCAAAAATAAGGGCTCCAGAAGAAGGAAAAAAAAAAAAGAAAAAACCACGCAGGATTGGTATTTAATTACTTATGGTTTCTCAAAGTGTATTATAACTATTATAATATTTCAAGGAGCGTTAATTAGATCTCATCTCTCTCTCTATTGTGAATAAGAGAATCAGAAAAAAAAAAAAAAAAAAAAAAAAATTATATATGTTAGAGAATTCATTGCGTCGCACAGAAAAGTGATGTTGCAAGAGTAATTTAAGGGGTAATCTTATTAAACATAAGGTTTGTACTTAATATATCCATATCCCATTATAATTAGCAATAGAAGTTTTTTTTTTTTTTTGTTTTGAAATGGAAGTTTTTTTTTAAAACATTGTAGTTAATTAATTAAATCTAATAAAGTCATTCGTCCACGATTGGAGCTTAGAGTGGTGCAAGCCTTCCGTCGTGTACGTACTAGTGTTAGTGAATGGTGGGGGCGAAGAAGCATAAAAAAAATGTTGAGTAAAGCTAAGACAAATGTTGGCGATCACATCAAGCAAGTGGACAAAAATATATAATAAGTACACATGATTTTCTAGAATAACTATTGTGCGTGTGTATGTATATATATATATATATATAGTTAATTAATTTACAATACATATATTATATCCCCATTCAACTGCTTTCATTTTCAAGAATTCCCGCACCATATATGTTATGAGCACTTCTCAAATGGATGATTAAGGGGTACGTTGCCGCCATTTTCCGTGTAAGCTTAGTATAAATTTACATTATTTAATCTCGTTCATTTTATATATTCGAATTTAAAATTTAAGTTTTTACTACAGAAAAATTTCTTATAAACAGTCACATTTAATTTTTTTTATTACAATAAAAGGCTCACATAAAATCACATTTCAATTTAAATTAAAAATTCAAATCAACAAACTAACACATGCTCTTAATTTTAACTATATCATGACCAAAAAAGCCAAAATGATTATAATGACCATTTGAAATGAGCTAATATTCTTTTAGTGCCACATGCGAAATGCCGAGTAGGTCGTTCTCTAGGCACTTTTGGTAAACTAATACACTGTACATAAAAATTATTGATTTCCTCCGGCTCCTTTGTATTTTAGAGCCCGTTTAGTTGTTTAGTTGGATGATTCGTTTTTTGATTCGAATCATAGTTTATAATTTACTATAATATTTTTTCTCATAAAAAATACACATAAATCAAAAATAATTTTAATTTATGAACCAAACAGACTATCTTATTTTTTCAAGTTGCATCATTTAAAAGGACATTGAAGTACTCTATTATACACTCAACCAATTTATTTCATTGTGCTTGATCGGGTGAACCGATCATATTATATATTATTAATATATTATTCTTTAATCTTTCTTCTCTTGATGATAAGACAAATCACATTAGTCCAGTAGCCACTATATGTCACTTTTCAGTGGCCACTTCAAATGACTAGGTAAGATAACTTTTCACTTTTTTATTACTATCTTTTTAAAATGTGGGTAGGCTAGCTAGCCACCTAGTCTATATTGCGCATGCACTATTGTAGAAGCCAATTATCAATTTATCATCATAATCATAGTGGCGGAGTCAAAATTTTAATGCAAGAGGCCTAAATTAAAAACATAAAAAATGTTAATAAAATTAATTCTTAATATTTTTAGATAAATAATATATATGTATAAATTATTGAACATATTTGAATAATAAAAATTTTAACAAGTAAATTAGATAAGAAAAACTATTTAAGAGGTACATAATATGAAAATAGCAACTTCAAGTGTCAGAAGAAGAATTTTTTTTTTTAATATACACAACATATTTGAATGAATATATATTACATCAATATGTGCAAATTAGAGAAAATGCGTGTGTGTGAGAAAATCATAATTGAGATGGTTGTTTAAAAAAATTCTTAATTAGGGACACATTTTGAGAAAAAAATATTTTAATGTCATTTTTTATATAGCTTAGATTATATCTAAGAATATTTTAGAAGGGGTCAATTTTAAAAAAAAAATTATTTTCATAAGAATAAATTAGAGAGAAAAAAATCAGTTAGATACATTTAAAGTATAAAATTTAATAGAAAAAGATCAAAAAAATATTAAGGGTGCGTTCACTTCACGTATCCCACTCAAGTAAGCCCAACTCGAGTGGGATTTTAGGCTGAGTTTTGCGTTCAGCAAATGGCACTCGAGTGTAAAACTCGAGTAAGAGAGTTTGGCATACGGTTGAACTTCTCATTATTGTAGTGTGGTTCTACAGTGTTCCCATGTGCTTAAACAGTGCAGATTCTCTACTTTCTTCTCGTTCAGCCTCGTTCCTACCTCCCCAGTGCAGATTTCTCTCTGCTTTCTACCCCTCGTTCTTGCCTCCCCCTTCTGATTTCACTCTGAAAAAATGATTTCCTGCAGATTTTGGTTTGAAAAAACGATTCTCTCCAGTGAGCAAAAGGTAACTCGAATCGGTTGCTTCGATTGGGTCGATCTGCAGCGAAAAAATGGTAAGAAGTCTCCCCTATTTCCATCATTGTTGCTTCGATTGCTTGTTGCATGCCCAACCCTAGAATGGTTTGATGATCGAGCTACCTCACGATTTGGGGGTTGTGATAGCCGATCAGCCGTTGTCCTCAACTGGTTCCAACCGGGTATGATCTTTCCCATCTACTGAAGTTCTATATACCATTTTGTGTTCTGGATTTCCCATGGTTGCACCGTAGTTCTTCTTTGTTTTGAATGGTTTGATGATGAACTATTGGTTGTCGTTTGTATTGTGATGTTGTCGTGTACTGAGCCCACTGTTGTCGTTTGCATCAACTTTGTTCTCTTCTTTGTTGTCGTATTGCCTCCACTGTTGTCGTTGTTACCTTAGTCTATTGCATCCCATGTTGTCGTATTGCCTCTCTTGTTGTTGTATTGCCTCCATTGTTGTTGTTTTTACCTGTTGTTGTATTGCCTCCCCTATTGTCGTATTGCCTCCCCTGTTGTTGTATTGCCTCCCCTGTTGTCGTTTTTACCTTAGACTATTGCCTCCACTGTTGTCGTTCCGCACATGACCACGCTGTTCAACATGTAATGTTGGCTATGATGAAATTGGTTCAAAAATTAGAACACTCGTCGTAGTGGCGTCCTGTAGGTAATGTGGCACTTAGTTACCGCTTCATTGGAATGTATTGAGCACCTCTGAAGCATGGCAGCTACGTCGCTCGTGCTTATAAGGATGATGCTCCGAGTGTTGTTGCGATTAATTACCTTTATAAAATTTCTGAGCCATTTATAACATTGCCCCACTTGTTACGTGTAAAAAACAGGTAATAGGAATTGTTGTTAATGGCAGTGATGTTCCAAAAAAATTATGAGCCATCGATAGATTATTACTTATGTTTTATTTTCCAATGCAATATCTTGTGTAAGTTGTGAGTTTGAATTTGTGCAAGTGAACACAAAATTCAAGTTTCAAATGTCACATCAAGTTCTTACTAAACACTTAACTCAAATTTCACATTACAACTTCAATTAAAAATAACTCAAATTCATTTTTTCAACTCAAATCATAAAATTCGAGTCAGTAAAGTGAACGGGCCTTAAAAATTAAAATAATTTGAAATTAAATTTTATGAATATATATATTTAAAAAATATATATATAAGGAGGCAATATAATTTTTTTTTTAAAAATACATATACTAAAAATCAAATATCAAATATCCAGGGTGGCATATGCCCCCGGGCCTCACCTCCCTCCGCCACTGATGATCATCATCGTCATTTCCCTCAAAATGAAAGCTATCTTCACCCCCCTAGCGTCCGTACCAAACGTATTACGAGTGTACGTCCACTACCACAATTCGTACGCAAACCAACCCACTCATAAAGTACTACTCCCACACCATTCGTGTATATATAAATACACATATTTGTTGAGCAAAATATATATATATATATATATATATATAAATACACAACACACACAGCCATATAATATATGCACACAGAAGCATGATAGCACTTTGGGGTATTTAATTATTAAAAGTTTGTGGGAGCATATATTCTTTGCAAGAAGAATATATTTGGGTCTGATCAGATCAATATTCTTGGTCATTAGGAGATGTTATAATTCATAGAGAAATTAATTTAAGAAAAATGGAAGAGAAAGCTTCATCATCAAGTGCTGCTAGCAGGCCAACGATATCGTTCCCTCTTGGCATAGCTCTTCTGGTGACTATGTTGCTCTTAGTTACTGCCATCTTCTTGTGCTGCCTATACTGGGATAGCCTCCGATCCTTCCTCTTCTCTACTTCTAATATTTCTAATCAACAGCACAACGATAGTATTACCGATCCTATTTCACAAGATTTCCCGCACGAGAAGTCTATTCCTCCTCGTCATATGGTACATCTCTCTCCTTCTTAATAAATATCTCGTATATTTATACAGTTACTATATAGTTAGTTAGTGATAAATTTTCTTCTCTCTCCTTTTTACGAATGGTGATAAATTTGCATATAGCTAGATCTGCACTTGCAACTTGGTTTTTTGAAACGAGTTCTTATATTAAACAGTATTTCCTATGGAATTGTTGGATTAACAGGTGGGGAAGCAAAATGATCACACGAAAAGCGTGACCGTGGTGATGCCCGGCGATGACGTGCCGAAGTTCATAGGGATGGCTTGTCCTTGTACGCCTCAGGTGCCGGAGAAGATCACGGTTGTGGTGCACAAAACTTCTGATAATTAGTGCGATGAGTTGATACACTTTGGACGTCCAAGTGCTGATACTAGTAAAGTAATTAGTATAAATATATACACCATGAGTTCTTGTGAAAATTATTTGTTAGATCAGCGATGTTGTATATTTGATTGTAATTAACTTAGTATAGGGGTGCATAGACTGAGAGAGAAATTAAGATGTTTTTGAGAGGTTGGGGTGCTCATGAGCAAAAGTTCGATGATATTAATCACTGGAAAGAAACCTTTTTCTCTTTAATTTTTGGATTTACTTTAGAGATTAAAGCTGAAAACCAATTTGATTAAAGTCTTAATCTTTATCCAGACAACCGGGTGTGGTTGTTTAAATTGTCGTGAGTACATGGCGATTGCAGCTTAATTAATAGGGAAAAAGGATATATACCCCTTACATGAATCTGGATTTTTACTCTTAGTTTTGATTAATATTTATTACTCTTAGTTTTGATTAATATCCATTTTAATCAAATAAAGTAAAAGGGAAAGTTCTTCAATTATAAAAATTTTTCCTACGGCCCAAGTAGCCAATAAAAGAAGTTTCAAGAGGCCCATCGTCAGCCGCCCGTGCTGTTTCTCATCAGTCTAACCTGATTTCGGGACTAAGAACAATATTAAGGCATCTATTTAAAACAAATAAAGAAAAAGATAAGAGTTTTTCTCTTCTTTTTTTTTTTTTTTTTTGCTGTTGGAATGAAACATTTGTTTGGCAAGAAGCTCAAGACGCAAAGGTTGGTTAAATTTGTGTCCGCATGTTATTTTTATGGTAGATTCTTAGTGCATATATAATGGCATCACCCCAAAAGACTTTGTGACAATTAGCAACATTCGGTTAAAATTTGTTCCCTTATTACATGTCAACCTCTGCAGGTAAAAATTGATCAGAACTAATTAGCTTCTTAATCTACATTTTAATTGCCTCCTTTAGGACCGCTTCCAAACCGTTTAGGTGGGTGTAGTTGGTTATCACTGTAGTCTTACATTGGTTCGGAATGATATTAGTTATTCTCTCTCTATTTACCTTAAAAAATAGTTTCTTCGAGACCCACTCTCAACTCTAAATATTCCTTTTTTTCTTAGTAAAATGAAACAAATGCTACTTAAAATGCATGAGTCTTGATTTTTATTCTTACTCTTAATTAATATCATTTTTAATCAAATAACTATATCAATTAAAAAGATATTAATTAAGAATAAAAGTAAAAATCTAAACTCATGCACACCGGTAAATCTAACAATTCTCTCTTTTTTCTTCTTGTAGTTTGACTTTCCTAGCTTTTTCTCTTTTAAGCAAAGAAAATGAAAGAGGCCTAATTATTGTGGTTTGTAATGTCTTACAAGAAGTGCAACTTTAAATCCCTCGGCCCAAAAATGCGTACTTTATCTCTTTTCATCCCTCAAATATATCATACCTACTTTTTTGTTTATTTACAAAAATATTGACTATCACATATATAAAGACAATTATATCATCATATAATTAAAAAAGGAAAAAATAATTAAAGAACCTAATAGGTAAAAAAAATGGAAACAAATATAGCAAAAACAAAAGTCAACACCAAAAATATTTAACAAAATCAAACATTAATGAAATGTACGGTTTTAAACAAAAAGAAATTTCCTTTAAGGAAAAAAGAAAAAGAAAGCCACGTTTCTTTTAAGATTAAAAAAACAAAACCCAAATAAAAAATATATAAAAAAAGATTGAGTCACAACATCAAAGGGTATAATATCATTATCCGCCTCTATTGCATCAAAAAAGAATACAAAAACCTGTCAAAATAAAAATTCGTAATGAAAATAAACATTGAATATTAAATTATATATAAAACACGAGAATATATAAGATACAAAAGAATGGATAACTTCATTACTTTAATTATAAAATCATTATGAAAAAGAATATGTAGCAAATCATTATAAAACTGAATATATCATAAAAAGGAACAAAATAAAATATTTTCATTAGTTTGAACCTTACAACATTAAGAAACACATTATATATATATAAAAAAAAAACAAATACCTACTAAAAAATCAACATAAACCAGTCAAATAAAAATCAGTCTTCATTATGAAAATGAAGATTGAATATTAAATTACATATGAAATATGGAAATATATAAGATACAAAAAGAATGGATAATTTTATTATTTTAACTATGAAATCATTATGAAAAAGAATATATAACAAATCATTATGAAACATAATATATGATACAGAAGAACAAAATAAAATCTTTTCATTAGTTTAGACGTTACAACATTAAAAAACACATTATAAAAAAAACAAATACCTACCAGACAATCAACATAAACAGTCAAATTGAAAATCAATTTTCATTATGAAAATGAAGATCGAATATTAAATTACATATGAGACATGAAAACATATAAGATACAAAAAGAATGAATAATTTCATTACTTTAATTATGAAATCATTATAAAAAAGCATATGTAACAAATCATTATGAAACAGAATATATGATACAAAGGAAAAAAAAAATAAAATATTTTTATTAGTTTAATCGTTACAACATTAATGATATCAACGATATCATTATGGAAAATAATGAATATAAAATTTGCAAGCAATCTAAAATGATCAAAATGCACGAAAAGATGAGTATAATTTATGTCTATTTTCATTATGTTAGATAATAAGAAAATTATGCTAAAGGAATAAAATATGTCATAGACAAGTGAACAAAACAACAAATAAAACCCTCACATTTTTTACATCTTAATGATGTAATCATTATGAAAAAGAATACAAAACTATGATAAAAATAAATAAATAAATAAATAAACATGAAAACAACAGCATAGAGAAAATAACATTTAAACAACAGTATGAACGATAAAAATTGACAAACTCAGAAATCAAAAGGAAAAGAAGAAGAAGAAGAAGAAACGGCAACAAACACAACACATTCAATCTGAACAAAAATACACTCAGTTCAAAAATTGCTCTTACGGCAACAAACACAACACATTCAATCTGAAAAAAAATACACTCAGTTCAAAAATTGCTCTTGAATGCGATAGAAGACAACGGGAAAGACAATTGCACAAAATCAATAACGTAAATTTACTTTTGGAAGTGTTTTGATTCTGTAATCTACAAAAGGAATAAAAGGCTTAAATTCAAATTAGAGGGGGAATCTTCTTATTTGAAATCCAAAATCTGAATTTTAAAGTCAAATAATTGATGACAAAAAATCAATTTGGTGAAAAAAGGAAAGTGCATATCTAATTTATTGTTAGAAAAAAATCAGCCCACAAAAAAAGAAACCAACCATATAAGGAACATGTTCAAAAGTAAACGGTATCATATATGTCAAAATCGGCATTTGTATTATATTGTATAGAAGTAAATATTTTTAAAAATACACCTTCAATAGTCAGTATTTTATGTAATTACTTCATAAAATAGGTTGACTTGAAGCCTATCTTTTTTGCCTAACTCATCCCATATAAAGACTCAGGCTAAGGATCTAGGCCTGAAAACCTTTTTGAGACAAGTCCTCTTAAAAAAATAAAAAAAATAAAAAGGGAGAAATAGAGAAGTAGGGCAAGACTTGAGATCAATTAAAATTAATAGGTCAATAGTTTATATAAGTTAATAAATAGGCTAAATTACTGTTTTCGTCTATAACTTGTCTGGTTATGAACCATAACTTGACAAGTTATTCCCGATTTTTGTCCATAACTTGTCTGGCTATGAACCATAACTTGACAAATTTGTCCATAACTTATCTGGTTATGAACCATAACTTGACAAGTTATGGCCTATTAATTTCTATAACTAAAAATTGGCTTATATACTTTCTTAAGCTTTTCATATTGGCCTATTTTCTACTATTTCCAAAAAAAAAAAATGCATCATTAAATTTCGGGTTAGTTCGGCCTGACCCAAAATCAAACTCGCAGCTCTATATACCAATGCATGATGAGTGATATTAATCAAACTCCATCACAACGAGGGTCAAGAGAACTTTTATCCTCTGAAAGAAAGATACCACCATTAGTGATGTATGATCACAGTTGCAACACTTACATCATCGTAGTGAAAAGTACTGATAAATAACATTTACTAGTTTTTGAATAACTTTACTTGCATTTGCAAGTTAATATTGTCTCTGCCCAAGTCTCGTTCTCAATTAAAAAAAAATATATATATATATATATACACTCATAAAAGATAAAATTTGGCAAGTTAGACTGGTCAATCTTATTTAATGTCAAATAAATGCAGGTCTATACATTTTACTAAACTAAGCGAGGAAAATGACATTTGCCTCGTGGTGGTTGTCATAATATTAACGAACTCAACACACCCTTGACTTTGAAGGAGATAACAGCACCGTTCGTAATCACTAATCAACCACCATAACTCTTTCTCAAAATAATTAGTCTTTTAGAGAAAACAAAGAAAGAAAATAGGATTTTTTTATTTTTTATTTTTTTTGGGACGTAAACGAATCAACTAAATCGGCATTCTTATGTTATCCCCACTGCCGGCATGGTGATCTTCGAAGATAGCTTTCAGTATATCAGACTCAGACACATATCACACGTGGGATTGCTGGTTTGGGACCCGTGGAAAAGGTAGTGTGGACCCTTTCAAGTTTATCAACTTACGTAGTTTGAACGAGGCACTTCACGTCGCAAACCCTTGGACTTCTATCGCTTGCCCGGTCAGTCCTCCATTATTGGCATCAATTGGAAAATAAGGAAAAAGAATATTTAGCAAACCAAAAAAATAAAAAAACAAAACAGAAACTTACAAAAAAATAATCTTGAACTTGTGGAAAATGGTGGTTTTTCATGCATTCAGAAGATAGTCCACATTTTCAGTAGCAAGGAAATAAGCGCTTTTTTTTAAAAAATAATAATCCGGAATCAAAGTGGTATTTATAAATGTAATTGCTAGTATCACTAGGACCTTTGGTTTCTATTTGAACCTAAAATTCTGATTTTATTAGTGTTTTTTATCTCATAAAAAGTTTGTTTAAAAATTTATTCTCTCTCAAAATTCCGGTCAATAAAATCACTAATTTAAACGCACGAACTAAATTAACTCTGGTTGTCAATTTTGGCACCTTATTTAATTACTTAAGCATTTTTAGTGTTTAGTTTTAAGTTGTTAAATTTAAATGACATGTCAAATAAATAGTAGGGAGACAAAAACAAGACAGAAATATGAGGACAACAAAATTG